CGTTTTCTAATATCGTAGTATTAATTAAAAATTATGCATTTGATTGGTTAATTATCACAGGAAATCACGGGTAGATCTACAAAAATCAACCAATTATATAAATGTCTTCCTATGATATTGGTATATCAATCACCTGGGTTGTAACCCGGTTTAAAAAAGTCCCCGGCAGGAACGGTGAATAATATTGATTTGTATCGATTATATATAAAATGATATTTTTAATTTTTTACAGGGAGATTCCTAAAATTCCTGGTCGGAATGCATTGGTATGTGTCATGGTTAGGGTTAAGGTTAGCTATTTTGGTTAGCAGGAGCTATAGTAAAATTATCAGTTGGGCATTTTTTACTTAATGAATGACTATGGTTTCATTAGTAAAATTCTTAGTGATCTTGGGCAAAATTGATCAATTCCGGACTATCCGGCAAATGTTCCGACCAGGAATTTTGGGGATCTCCCTGTATGAGTTATACTTATGTCCGGAATGCACGTCTCCAATATTTGCCGTCAGTATTTCTTTATGCGAGTACACTGTTTTTATTTACATATTTGTGTAAAACTTTGGAAGTTTGAATTTTTTTGTTACGAATCTATGCGTACAGCCATATATGAATAATGTTACGGCGATCACGTGATACAATGAAGTAGATATTTATTGGTATATATAGAAACAAATTATCATTATTTTTTTATAAAAATTATTGTTTCTTTGAAGGCGATGCTATTGTAGGAAGCTCATCAACTTTAACATATGTATGTGTGAAGTTTGGCGTAAGCCTACTAAGCTTGAGATAGTAATCCATTACACGGCTCTATTATCAACCAAGAAAGCAACAAGCTTATAAACGTACAGTAGGTTCGTAAAATGAAAAGACACAGTTTATATCCATACCTTAAACATATATACCTTTTCGATCACTTCTTTGAGCACGTGCAATTGATCCTTAGAGTTTGGGATAGAGAACTCTGTAATCTTATCCACTATATATAAACCACTTGCACAATGCATCGTGTATATTGTAGCCGTCCGTTCTAAAATCAAAAAGTTCAAAAAATAATTTATGAAATCTAGTCCTTCAAAAAAATCATTGTTATACTCACTATAAACAACAATGCCGTAAAACTCCAAGATTTGTAATTGGTTTTCCGATGCTCCTCGTTGAAGGTGGTACTGTCGTTGGTAGAATAAAGAAATTTGCATACCTGAAGGACAATAGGAAAAGTATATTAGTCAGCTATAAATAAGACGTACTAAACAATAAGCATACTTACATTTTAGCACTTTCTCTAGATCCTCGGATAGTTTGGTGAGATCATCGTAGACAGCATTTCCAACCACCTCCATGAATCCAACTTCTACTGTAGTCCCATTTACATTAATGATAATAACCCCATCCTGGCGACAACCAAGACTAAGCCGTTGTGTGCGTGCTCGTGTCTCGATACGTTGAGTTTTTATCAACATATTTTCGATTTCACCACTGGTTTAACAAAACAGGAGAATATCACGTTATTACCATAAAACATGGAACAATGAAAAAAATATTGAATTAAAACTTACGTCCTCATAGAATGAGTTCCATTAAGTCGTCGAATACTTTCGCGAATATAGGATTTATGAAATTTTCTCTATAAGATAATTCTGTCTGGTCTGGTCCAATAGGGTGCCATAAAAAGCATTAAGCTAAAAAAAGATAAAGCAATCAATCCAATGACTTCGATTTATTTAAATCAATAAATCATAAAAATGCTGGTACTCACAAATGTTCATATACATTTTGTATCCATTTTAATTCATAATGTTTTTTATAAATGAAAACTCCAGAATATGGCTTCATAGCGACAGCCTCAATCGCATTATCCAAGCAAATGTCATCAAAAACCGATTCGACTTCTATATATTTATTATACGTGTTTACTAGAGGTTTTATCTCCAACTCCCATTTTTTATGACGAGCAGTGCTAGTTTTTTCGGTTTCTGATGGTTCAAGCTTTAAAAAAAAAGTATTTTGTTGTTACCGTTATCTATTGGATAAATAGCTGAGCATACTTCCTAGTTCTATAAAAAACGTATTAATTACAGATATCCAAATATCTTTTAATAATTTCCTTTCACTTTCTGTCAATACACTACATCAGTAAATTTATATGTGCGAAATATTGTGCAAGAATTTGTGATACGCAAAAATAATGCAATATTGCGCAAAATATTTCGAAAAATTTCGCAAAATCAAAAATTTGAAATATTTCACACAAAATTTCGCAATAATTTGCAAAATATTTTGAAAACTTTCGAAAACTCAAAATTGAAATAATTTGCAAAATATTTCGCAATATTTTGCAAATTATTTCAAAATATTTTTTTAGATAAATATTTGAAATATTGTAAAAAAATTTTAGAAATATTTTAAAATTCTTCAGAATATTGCGAAAACAAGCTGGATTGTAAATATGTACCTGAAACATACCAAGAGTATATTGTACTAATACATTTCGATGATATTCAAAACATGTATTTTTTATATTAGCACTTTACAAGTTATCAGCAATTTAAGTAAAGCAAAAAATTTTGAAAGTTATTGCTAGGTTT